AGATATAAAGGTATACATAATTTAACGAAATAAGGCGGAAGAATGCCAACAACAAACTTATCATTTTAATTAAATATAAATTTCCTTACTTCCAATTTAAGCCCTAAATGTTTTTTTAGTGTTGGTCCAACCATGATTTCGCAACTTGGTCGGAGCGTCAGGTAGACCTTGTGAAGCGTACCTAGTCCCGTGTCCTCTGCCATAGAATTAGTGATTTTCAGCATTGGGCCATCGACTGGGTATATTCTAAAACATTTCGCCGGAATTGTCAATGAGAGATGCCATCGTGAGCATAGAGTTATTATTTATCAAAGGGACAAGTTAAGCCAATCCCTTTGGCCAATGTTATATTCAACAGCTGTGGCATCCCTCCTTGCCCCTATTTTGTTCTGTCTTCTTGTGACGCATCTTTTCTCTCAACCTTATATGGCCCATCCACTTATGCATAGAATTCTGTGCTCTCAATGTTGCGAGAAATAGATGCGGTTCTAGAAGGTAGAATAATAAATTGGTCGAGGAAATTGCCCTCACTCGTCGCTTTGATAAATTGTAGCGCTGCGCTTACGATGGCGCTTCTCACGGATGATGCCGGCGAAACGTTTGCGAATGTACCTAGCCAGTGATCCAATGCTGGATATCACGAATATGGTAGCAGAGGACACGGGACTAGATACTTTCCACAAGGTCTCCCTAACGTTCCGACGAAGTTGCGAAAACAAGGTCGGATTAATACTATAAAGTTAAAGGGGACTGCGACCAAACAGAAGGTCACACCATCTTGCTATTGATATCTACGATCGAAATGTTTCATTTTTCTTGGACTTTAATTAATAACCCACCTGTACGCAGTCCCATCTTGCTCATTGAGTACACCAAATAGACGGCTGATTACTGTATTTTTGTCCTGGCATAGAGCGAAATGAAGATTCTTATCGAAGCCAAGTCTACTCGTTGGTGCGTCATACCAAGCGCGATGAGATTCATAGGAATCAGTGGAAATTGCCCATATCGTGCAATTAAGCAATCCAAATTCAGGAACTTTTTCACTGAAGCTACTTAGCTCTTCATAGTCAATTTTAGAGCTTCAAGAAGTTTTTACAGGTGAGAAATATTTGGAAAAAAAATAGCAAGCCAAATATTAACAATAATGAATTCTAAGAAAGCAATTTAACAACATACACCTCAGAAATCAAACGGAACAATTTAGAGAAAAATCAATATACAACTGTATCCTGATGTCGATAATAGAAATTAATAAATAAGTGAGATGTATGGCTTAATATGTAAGCATAAAAACAAAGGTCGCAACATCATAAAAAATGTAAACCAGAGTTGTGTTATGGATAAGACAAATAAGCAAATGTCCATGGTAAAAAAGGCAATCTAGATGCAGAATTTAAGTTATCTATGGTCAAAATTATGGGAATATATGTAGTGGCAAAAGAGATTACTTATGTACTTCATCCTTAAGTGCTTACTATATTCATAAATGTGTAGTATTAAGTTCAAATGCAAAAATCAGACAGTATAATACGGGAAAAGCTATACGGAAATAAACAAATAAATGTACGATGGCAGGTAACTTGCAATATTCGATTAAAAAAATATTGTATATTCTAACAAAATAAAAAGATCAAATTTATATACACAAAAGCTTATGTAACAAAAATTTAAAATTCCTTATTCTGAAGGAGCGTAAATAAAACAATTTGAATAAAAAGCAAATAATGCTAGTAGGTTAGATAGTATAGAAGTATAAAGAACATGAAAATAAAAAAGATATTTGATTCAAAAAAGATTTAATGTTTCATATAATTAAGGCAATATTAAAAATCTAAAATTGTTAGAGAAAAAATAAAGTGAGATATAAAATAAAATAAGTATAGAAGAATCATAAGTAATATTAAAAGTCACCTAATACAAAAATTTAAATCACCAATTGCTCTAAATCATTCAATAAATAAATGTAAATTATATTATTAAATTATTCCTTGTTGAGGTTAACAATAAAATTATAATAAGAATTGTAAACAATGAATAATGAGGTTTTTAAAAAAACTTACAAGTCATAAGGATAAAAAAGAAGGAGAACATAACCTGTAACATTATTTAGACTTAAATGTTTTTCTCCCCCTTCAAACGCGGCCTTGCATGAAAATGCAGGAGCATTA